CCTTCTTTGGAACAATTTCCTCCGCCTCTCCTTGATGCGACATCTTCATGTGCTCTGTGTTGTGGTTTGAGAGGGCGGCGCTTTGTGACGGCGTGCCTGGGTCCGCGATTGCGATTGGTTGGGAGGAAGTAGTGACTAGCATAAACCTACATGCTAGGCTACAATGAGAAGGAAGGAAAACTGCGGGTTTTTTTATCGAACTTTTATCGCCCTGCTTTTTTTCTATTGCGCCACACGTCTATCGATCGATATATATCGTTATTGAATTATCGCCCAGCCCTAGCTTGTGTCAGCCCGCCCCAAAACGAATGAAAAAATCTTTAATTACAAAACATATAGAGGAAAACAACAAGAAAAAGGACAAGAGGAGAGGGACAAAACGTAGAACAAATATGTATATCTATTCTATTAAAATTTCTGTGTCTGTATAATGGGTGTGCTTTATGTGCTGTCTTCTCAATTCAGAGGGCCCCCTGCCTGTCTTGGCTCCAAATTTCCTAAATCCACCCTTGCCCTAAGTTAATCACATCTGTAAGGTAAAGGGCTGTTGAGATTCAGCACAGCAGTCTGGAGTTCCTTTCCTACCCTAGATAGTGTTCTTACTGTTGACCCAACCAAAGGTGAAGGGTTAGGAGGTAGGAGCAGAAGGAGCCTCTCTCTGCAGCTGCTGCTGTGAGAATGTAAATAACTCTCAACTGAAGCACCGGTTTTTGAAAAGACACGATAAACTTTGAGGCGCTGCACTTTTGTTGATCAAAGACGCTCATCTACCACTTCTTAATAATTTTTTTGGAAGAGGCTTGTTTAAGCTTTGAGTCTGCATGCATCAGCATGCCTCTCAGACGAAGCTGTTCCGGGATGCTGCTGCCTTTATTTTGACCAAATAGGGAAACTACTTTGCTTTTCTTTTCTTTGCTACTTTTAACCATGCCTGGGCAGGCCTATGGGTTTTAGTGATGATATTTGCTCCAGAAGGACTTTGCTTGACCTTTTTCGGATCTTTCATTATGTGGCCTGAATTGAATCACTAAGCTGACACTGCTTGTATAACATTTGTATGCATTTGTTGAATGAACTGAGACTCTCGTTCACGAAGATTTTGTTTGTTTTTCCCCTCATTTGTTGTTTTGCTGATCAAAGCTAGCTCCCCTTCAGCTTTGTTAGCTTTTTATAGATAAAATGTTTTTACATCTACTAGTGATAGATTAAAATCCAGCTTAACAGGTATAAATATCCACATTTACTTAAAAATTGTTGACAGTTGTTAATTGATAAGCTATATTGTTAAATGTAATCACTAAAGGCTGATAGCTGTAATCAGAGTTATCTAAAGTAGATTTTTGTTTTGGATTAATTTTGATTGAAATTATTGACCATAATTTCCAATTATGATCATTATTAATATTAATCAAATAAAAATATTTGCGCAATGCTACAAGCCATTCTGATTCTGCTGGATGTTTCTTTCCTTTCAACTGCTGCTACATACTTGTTTGGGAAGATTGTTTGCAGCATAACTTTCTTAGGTATTCCAAAGTAAATTTGACTGCATATATATATATATATATATATATATATATATATATGGAAGTTATATTCATCCATTTGAAGGGAATCAAAATAAGACATTCATTGAACTTATTCTGTGATATAAATTTTATTTCAGAAGATTGTGCACACATGGGGTAAACCTGCAGCTATAGGACAAACCACTGCGATACGTTCGGATGAAAAAGCCTTTTAAAAGCCCATATCAAGTTTCTGAAATAACATCCCAACACATTTCATTGGTGTGCTCCAGCAGCCTCTGTGTAAAGGTGTACGTTCCTGCGTGCTGCCAGGGGGGTTGTTGGTTACCGCTTGTGCAGCACTTCTGGGATTAACAATGCTGGGATTATCAGATTGTTTCAGGGCAGCCAGAATAGATGCGATAACAGCTTCATATAGGCCATCACACTCACACATACAATATAATCACGCACTCACACTTAATCCACCTCTGGCTGCTGAACTGATATAACCCATAACACCTCAGTTGTTTTACATGTACAAAAGGAAGCAGACACTACAAAGCAGTTAAAAACTTCTACCTTTAATATAATATTCTTGTGCCAGTTTAACAGGTTCCTAAGCATTTCATTGCAGTGCGGTACAAACGCTACAGCGGAGAGATGAATAATACAATGCACATGGGATAAACCTGAGTTTTAAGAGAGTAACTTTCCCAAATTTTCCTGAAATCATGTCAGATATTTTTTTCCATGCTTATGCTACACCTGAATAAAATTTGAATCTCTTCTAAAAAAAAAAAAAAAAAGAAAAAGAACTACACAACTTCCTGCACGGATTCTCTGATGGTTCGTGGAGTCCTGCACAGTGATTTGTTTTGTTTGTTTCTGTTTTCTTTGTGTCTATGTGTTCTGGTCATGTTCATGGGAGCTGCAGCTGCTTTAAAGATGGATCACAAATCCAGCCTGTTTTAAAACAGGTGTTCCTCCTGCTTCCACCCAAGTCACACAACCAAAAATGGAAATAAATAGAGAAAACATTGACACACACCCTCCCTCTCTTCCTTCTTATCTCACTTTGATTTCTTTTTTTGCCTGTTCTAGCTGGCTGGAGTTGGAGTGGCGGCTTTTTCCGTAGCATCAGCTTCTTTTTCCCCCTCCTCACCCCCTTCACCATCTGAAGCTGGATCAACTTGAGCGAATTTTAAGAGCTCGACAGCCTTTGCTTTCATGTCGGCGTAGGTTTCCTTCACGCCCTTCTCCAGGATGTAGCCCTCACTTTCACCCTCTGGTGACTCTAGAGCCATGGCCCCTTCCACAGCTGTCTGCAGGTAGCGCATGCTCAGGAGCACAGAGATCTGAAAGAGGAAAATTTAAATAGTCAGATAGCTTTACATTGCAAATAGAGAATAACTAAACAAACAAAGACGTGCAAACATTTAAAGAAGAAAATGAATATATTTTATGTGTAAAATTAATGAAGAGAGATCAATGGACATTTTTAAGGCTTGAGATTTTTTTAAACTTGGACTTTGGCTGCTTTCAACCAAAGTATTTTGTGTATTTATGTCACCATCTTAGTGAGAGGTGAACCTCCTATACAGGCTTAGGTCTTTAGCATTCTTTAAAATGTTTTATTCTAAAGTTACACATCTTCTCATAACTCATCCCACCCCTGCTGAGGCCTTACCATGATTCTGACACCACCATGTTTTCACAATGGGGATTGCGTATTCAGGGTTAAAGGCTATGTTGCATACCGGCCAAATTCACATGTTGTCTTATCTCACCAGAGCACATTGTTCTACCTCTCTGCAGAGGTCCCATCCTTGGCTTAGTGAGTAACTGCAAAGACTTCTTTCTTTCAGAAATGCCTTTCTTTTAGTTCCTCTTTTATAAACACTTGTAGGGTAAAGTGCAAGATTACTAATTGTCCTACTGACAGAATCGTTTATCTGAGCTGCAGATCTCTGCAGTAACTTTATAAATAGCAGGAGAGTTTGACTGATCTGAGTTTAAATAGTGTGCTTCCACTTCTCTTCAATCTTATTACAAAGGACTCTTGTTTTTGGGTTTTATCTTCATAAAGCTGTTTCTTATATTCTTTAAATTGGTATTACTTTAAAAACAGACTGTCTATATTCACAATATGTAACTACTGTGCTTAATGTAGGAGTATCAGGGTAAAAGGGGATAAACATCTCAACATCTTCAACGTCCTAAAATCAAGTCTCTAGATCTTTGTCTGTAAGAAATTTTTAAAAGAATAAAAAGTAGTAACACTGAAGGGAAATCTAACATACTCTGTTTTTTATGGCTTCAGTTTTGCTAAAACATTTACCCTCAAACACAAATGCTGCTCATCACATTTTATATCATGCTCCCTTTTCCTCTTTTTCAGCCAGCTGTTGGCAATATGGAGCAAGACAATAAACAAAGTGGATGCCTCCATAACTTGACGGCCATCTGTCAATATGAAGGAGACAAAAGACAGCCAATCTTAGCCTCGGCATTTATAGGAATGGATTGCGTGATCAGCTGTGGGCAGTGTGTGGCTGTGCATCTGCTTCCTGTTTGAGCGTTTAGAGCTTAAAAATAGAATGTGACATCAACACTGGGGCTTTACAAAACGAAGTGTATTTGGTGGAATGAGAGGAGCTGGTTTGTCTGTGATGTTTTTTTTCTGTTTCAGTTGTCATGGGAGGCTTTGCGTCAGAAGAAGCGAAGGCAAAATAAATTCTGTTTTGTTTTCATGTTTCTGTCACCAAGGACTGTGCAGTTGTTTTTAACTGTATATTAAAACTAGTCACATGATACATGATTGCCTTCCCCCTGACATGGGTTAAGGTCCACCTGACATTGGCTATTTTCCCTCTGACATTGGTGAGTGTCCAGCTGACATGTATCATTTCCCACCTGACATGTCCTCTTGACCTGATATTGGTCACAGGACAACTGACACCGACATGGGTCACCTGACTTTGGTCACTGTAGACAAACGTTTGGCTAAGATTGACAAATCTAAGCCTAGACTTATCAATATGCTCATTCAAGTAATGATAGGCATATATCTTATATCGTTGGACTGAGTCAGTTTTAAAAATGAGATCTGATGAAAGGCCTTTATCATTTTAATAAATACTGTTATAACTGAGGTTACTCTGTACCTTCTCTTATACAACATTTATTGAACAGGTAGTCGGACCATACCAATTTTGTTGGGTTCTAGACCCCTGTGATCATTTCTTTTGGTCCACTTATCTTACTTGAATTCATCGTCTTACGCAATTTTAAATATAAATACCCATACTACTAATGTGCTTTGCCCCATCTTACTTATTTACTTTTCTAGAAAACTTTGCAGGCCTATTAAATTGTTCAGTCTTTTTCCCCACCTGGATTAGGATGACTGACAGCACGCCAGGACCGGTTGAGTTCATCAAACTCATGTAGTAGTCAGTCAAGGCCTGTCTGCAGCCACGGCTGTACAGGTTGAGCTCCTCTGATTGGTATTCGTAGTTGTAGTGGGCCCTGCTATCTGTCAGGTGTCGCTGCAGGCAAGGACGCGGGGAGGCTGGGTTGCAGCAGCTAAAAGGAACGCCATCCAACAGGTAACGACCATCCACATTACTCCGGATACGGCTGTAGGCAATGGACGGAAATGGGGAAGAAGCAGAAAAGGGTTAAATGTGAGAGGAGATATGAGTAAAGTTTAGTTCAGGACAGCTAAAAGCCTGAGATTCGGCTCAGTGAGAGGTGAAGAGCACATCAATGAAAGTGTCATAGAGTCATAACCTCTCTATTTACTCATTCCTTTTCCCTTATTTAATCTTTGACAAATCAGTCATCTCATGCTTCAACCTCTGTCTCCCTTTTCAAAACCTAAAGGCCAGATCTATTTTTAAATCACCTCCGCTTCTTCACTAAACATCACCCCCTCTCTCTGTAAGATATAGTTTGACCTTTTTGGATTATGAAGTCTGTTCATCTGTCACTAACACAGCTGCCTTCTCTCTCTCACACCCAGCATCGCTTTAGTTTATCTGCTTTTGATCTCATTTCACTTCATCCCGTATCAAGGTTGTGTTCCTGCTGCTGTTTACTCACTCCTTTACTTCCTGGGAAGTGAAATCCAGGTATCGGTTGCTGACCCACTGAACCTCGAACCAGTCCTTGAAGTTGTTGTTTCCGCAGCAGCGAAACTCCATCTGGAGGCGATCAATGGTCTCCTTTTGAAAGCAGCGGCCAGGGACGTCCGTGTCCTTGTAGAACCGGATGCCGTTCCTCAGCCCAACCTGAATAAAAAAAATATTTAGTTTGTGAAAATAGATTTTAGAGTTATATAATACGTTCTGTCAAAATGACTGAAATCTGGCTTAAATGAACAGGTTAGTAACAAGCCCCTAGAGCATTTTATTACATGCTCTTGAGGAGGGAATGTAAGCATTTGAATGAGATGTGTTGAAGCAGAAATACATCTAAAGTATGGAGGCGAGTGGGCCTCAAGGACAAGGTTTGATAAATAATAATATAGCCTGCAATAAAAATAAATCTTACTTCTGTTCCTAGCCTTTAACTGTCAGAATGTTATCTTTCCTTTGCTTGGAGTTAGAAGCAACATTAAGCTTTTTCCATCTTTCCTACTTTTAATTTTCTTTTCATTTTTTTTTATCCAGAAATGTCTCTCTATATAGCTTTAAACTCTACTATCTTCATCTTGTATTCAGACCAGCTAATTCATTAGATCTATTAAGGCCACATTGTTAGCCATTTTACCTTTGACCTGCTGGGATCAATACCCAATTTCCATGACTTTCTTCTTACCTTCAGCGACTCTTCCAGCCGCCCCTGTAGGGCATAACTGAGGATCACCACAGTAAGAAGCAGGCAGCACAGCAGCGCAGCCACGGCAAACCAGAGCAGCAACAGCACCTTCCAGCGCGGGAAGCGGCTGGCATCCAGGGAGTCCTGACACACTCGACTGGCAACCCAGTTGGCGCCGATGGAGGCCAGACCCACCATCATTAGGAGGTTGGGTACACAATGGATCTCTTTGTTCTCCATCACCTCAAAAAGTGGAGAAAAGTCAGTTATTGATATCACCTTGTGATTTCCTTCCTTTTTTAATTGTATTGGATAATCTAATTAGTCGTATTTAATGGTTGTGAGGAAGTTTGATAGATGTGCTTTATTAATTATTCAAAGGTCGTTCTATCTGTACATTTAATTAACTTTTAGCTCAACTTTAAACAGACTTGGAATAATGAATGTATCATACTGCTTTTCCCAGATGTCAGCTATTCTGAGCTGAATAATAAAAGGTTGTGTTTAGCCAACTGAGAAAGGTAACGATTCCTTTACATGGCTCAATATCCGTTGTAAGGCCAAACTGATTTGGCTTATGTTAACATTTAAAACTAATTATGGTATAAAAGTTTAGGACATTTTTAGAAGATGTCTTGTTGCTGTAATAATAGACCTTTATGTTGTTTGAAAAATAAACTTTACTTTTTCTTTTTTAAATTGTGATCTTTGCTATTTTTTTTTACACATTCCTTCATATTTCTTAACACAATTTCTATTGATGTAACAATTATTACATCAGTGATAACGCATTTGTGCTTCCTCACTGCCAAAAAAAACATTGGTTGATCGGTCACAGACCAATTTTAATGGTGATAGATATAAATGGTCTTTGAATAATTTTTAAATAAATCCAGTACGAATAAAACAAACTGTTATAACTCAACAGCTTAATTCAATGGTCCTCAAAGACTGGCGTCCTGTAAGTTTTAGATAATGCTTAATTATTATTGATTAAGTATACCTGAATTAAATAAGTGCCTAATTTGCACACCTCTGCTGATTTACAAAATATTCAGAGCATGGACACATCTTAAACATGCAGCACAACAGGACTGGAGTTGGACAGGCTGAACTTTACCTAAATTACATTTTAAAGTGGCATAAACACTTCAACAAACTTTTTAATATGTGTCAATCATTACAACAAATTTGTACCTAAATTTATCCATAGCTAAAGGCTATGAAAGTTGGAAATACGTTTAATATGCACCAATTGGTTTTTACAATGTACTTTTTAGAAATGTATATTCCTTTAACTTGAGTATTTCAACCGTTACATTATTAAGTCGATATTGGTCCATCAGGTCTGTAGTAAAAATAATGTAAAAATAATGTCATTGAGGCATAAGTTATAAGAGTTGTAGTTAAGAAATTTTAAGGTAGAATGTCAACTTTTTCCTGCTGTCATTCATCCAAAGGGTCTACCTTGGGATCAGTATGAAGGCCAATCTTGCCAGCTAGTTTAACTCTAGCATTAGGCTTTTTGCTAAATCACTTAAAGTTGGAGTTAGCATGTTCTCCCTGTGCATGCATGGGTTCTCTCCAGGTACTCCAGCTTCCTCCCACAGTCCAAAAACATGACAGCTGGGTTCTCTAAATTCTCCTTAAATTTGCTTAAATGGTTGTTTGTCTCTATGTTTCCCTGCAATAGACTGGTGACCTATCCAGGTTGTGCCCCGCCTCTCGCCCGTAGACAGCTGGAGATAGACACCAGCACCCTTCACAACCCCGGCAGGGATAAGCTTGTAACACAAAAAACATTTTTGTAACTCTCTCAATCATTGTTCTTTACAATTGTTAACTTTTACTAAGTTTATAGATGTATTCGTAACAGAAATCCTACAAACATATCAGCCTTACTGTTGAAATTGAACTTTAAACCAAAGGCTAATATTGAATTTAAAGCGTTTTGGTAGGATTTGTTTCCAAGGTAAAAGACGTCTTTTTACAGACTGACATGCACAAATACAAAATTAAATGATTTTAGTGGATGATATTTATCCACCTCCATTATAATACCATGCTAGTCATAAAACAGATTTTTTTAAAAACATTTACAGTAGGTGCTGCTATGCTTTGGGGGTAGAGTGCATGACCCAAATACTGGCTGATGCAGGTTTGAATCCCAGTCCTCTCCTTCCTCTCTTGCAACCCACTTTCCTGTCTACATGGTTTCAAAAATAACAAAATAAAAGCAACTAGAGCCTTACAAAAAATCTTTAACAAAATTCCCAAACATTTAAATTTATTCTGTAAAAGGCAAGTTTGCATTCTTTTGACTACATCACTCAGCATTTATGCCACCAGGTGTAGTGTCTGATTAATAACAGCCGAATGGATTATATAGATTGCCTGAGTCATCATCACTTTAATTAACAATTAAAAGCAGCAAAAAAATAAAGTTTTTCTCTAATTAAAGAGAGTAAATCTTGTAAATCCTCCATCTTTCTGACACTACTCTTCAAATTCTTCATCCCCTCGGTCACATTGAGGTTTAAATAATTCGATTATTCTCAAGGAGATCAATCAATATCCTGTGCTCATGCGTTTAGCTTTCCTGTGCAGTGGTCTGGATCTTAATGATTCCATCTTTTCCAAAATCCAATATTGGTCAATTACATGCAGTGACTGGCTGGCTTGAACAAATACACAACCCTAGCAGAGGCTGTAACCTCTACCTGCAGGCCACATTGCCAGTCAATACACTCTGCAAGGTAATGATTATGGAAGAGAATCGCTGAGGTTTAAAAGAAGCTCCTCAGCATGCCACGCACCGTATAACATTGTATGCATGACTGCGCGTGTTGACACTTGTATTTTGTCTGCTTTGTTGTTGAAGGATTAAGCAAAGTTTACATTTAGAGGATAGATAAGCGACTACATAACTGCCGGGGTAAATAACAATGCTCCAAGGCATTTGTCTGAGCATACAGTCGCATATATGTCTGACTTTGAATGAACAGATTTGTTATTTTTTAGGTGTCTAGTGCGTGCTTCATCATCCATGTGAGTTTAAAGGTTGCTCTACCTCATCTCTACGAAGCAGCTCTATCTTGATATAAACCCCCAGGGAAAAAATGAAGGCCCCACACGTCACTGCTAGCCAGGAGAGCAGCCAGAGTCCCTGGGCAAGTCGCACCCGCCTCTGCTGGGTGAACTTCATCTTCAGCACTGCCATGGCTCACTACCATGCAATGATCAGTGCAATGAAAGGGAATACAATGAGACAAGTAGTGTATCCAGATGTGATGAAAAGCTGAGTTTAAGAGAGAGAGTTGACAAACTGTGCAGCTGGAATATTCAGTTAATGCTGGAGGCCTTGTTGTTTGGTGAGTTATAAGCAGGTTGAGCTCATCTAAGTTGTTCCAGGTGGAGAGGATAAGCAGGTAGATCCTTGAGATGGTGAAGGACGCAGTTGACCTCAGAGGATAATCCAAATTCTTTCACTTGGTTGGAGAAATCGTGCCGAAAAAACTTCCTTGTAATCCAAATTGGCGCAGAGGCCTCAACAGCAAATTTAAGAGGGAAAAAAAAGGTTGAAAATGAATTATAAATGAAGGAGATAATCTGTTCCAAGAGTCTACTGTTTTTTTTTTTTTAAAGGTCTTTCACAAGGTCGTCTTCGCCCCTTCCTTCAAGCTGAAACCACCTTTCTTCCTTGCGATGTGTTGTTGTCTCTTGATGGCGCCCCTCTGGGTCTGTGCAGGTGCGGCGCCCCCCTAAACCGCTGCAGCCATGGTTGGAGGAGAAAGAGACTGGGCAAAGTGGTGAGTTTGGAGCCGTAATCCCACAACAGAGTCCCTGGGATCCTATTATCGCCAAGGGCCAATTGGAAAGCAGGCCAGTGATTGATCAGCAAACTTGCTTTGATGGACACATTAAGATGGGCGGGTCTGTTGGTGTATATTGATGGTTGGTCTTACCTGAAACCTATCAGGACAGGTTCATCAATACAGAGACTGAAGAAACAGGAAATACTATGCCACTGTTTGGAGATTATAGCGGTATTGTCAGTCAAGGCTTTCATGATTTTTTTTTTTTTATTGAACAAAAGGTCAATGTTTTCACTCTGCATCTTTTTATGCAGTCAAAATCTACAGCCTGAGTGAATTATTACCCAATCCCAACTATTGGTTTTAATTGAGCTCTAATCAATTTGATTACTGTATAAGATGTTGTTTTTGGGTGTAAAATTTCCCAATTTTTCAACTTACTGACTCTTGATTCTTAGTTCTACATCTATTAACATATAATAGTCTTTTATGAGTGGCATTAAGGGAGCATTTCTCCAAACATGATCCCTCGGAGGGCAGTGAAGATGGGGAGAAAGTATGAGAGGCGTTATCCATGCAGAGGATTATGTAGGGAGGTTGGTGGGGTTGGATCAATTGGCTTAAACTGTCATTTTAAGTATTTATGACAGCTTGAATCAAAGCTCCAGTTAGGATGAAATGTGTTTCAGCTCCTACAGTGACTTGCTGAAGTATTCCAACCCCCAGAAAGTTTTCACTTCACACTCCAAAACTTCAATATATTTTCCAAGATTTCAGGCTAAGAAAAACAAAAAACATTTTTTTTTTTTTTTATAATTTGCCACTAAAATCCATAAAAAAACAAGTGTGACCTGCAAATCAGTTTAACTCACCTTACTCATGCCTCCGCAGTCTTTTGCAGGTAACAAACAGGTTTGGGTTTAATAGGTTTTCCTCCAGGACTGCCTCGTATTAAGCTCCATCCATCATCCCATTAAGTCTGACAAGCTTTCCCATCCCTGCTAAAAAACAACTGCAGAACTGATGCTGGCACCAAACTAAACCATGAGAAAGCTGTTTTTACCATGATTTACATTGTTCTGTAGCTTTCTGCCGCACAAAGTGTTTTGTATTTTGGCCAAAAAGGCCAATTTGGGTCTCATTTGACTTGAATTTGATTCAGGATTCTGGATCCTAAAGTTCTCTAACAACCTTTGAGTCCTTGACAGAACAGCTGGGTCTATACTGAGGACACAGGCGGACTCAGTTCACTAATCAGGGGATTTCTTGAAGGCGGCTGATTGCACTGAATTTCATTTAGAGCTGTTAAAGTAAATGGATTATAAACACATCCTTCCGCTACTTATCAGGTTTCCATTTCAAAGGGAAGAAATAAAGCACATGGTTAACAGACAAATAAATAAATAGATCAAAAGTCTGTATTTTGAACCTTTCTACAGGAGCAGCTTTATTGGTAACAGTAGGTACAGAAGTTAAACACTGTGCATATTTAATCATACATTTTAGTGAAACTTTGACTCTATAAAGACTAAAGTAACTTTATTTGTTTTATTTATTAAACCTATAGCATGGAAATCCATTCATATTACTGACACTTATATTTTGCTGTACATTATGGTTTCTAAATCAGTGAAGAGCCTCTACCCCAGACATCCATTAGACTACAGTGTGTATGACACAACCCATGCTCTATTTACACATGTGCAATATTCATCCAAGTGTTTGCAGAAGCAGTTAACTCATGACAGTGTTTGCTAATAAAGGGAAGTGTTTTAAAAGTCTTACATTTGACTGTATACACTGTGTTGGCAAAAGTAAATGGCCACACATTGGAGTTGGGAAAAGTAGTCAAACCTTTTCAAAGCAGACAGCCATGCTCCATCTCCAACTATCCCCTGCCTTTCTGACAAAACCAATGACTTACAAAGTGGAAAAGTGCTGTAATTTAAATAAAATGCATCTCTACTGGATATAATAGTAAAATATAAGACAAGATAGCTACGGGTTAAAGGCAAAATACAACCAGAGATCAGGATTATCTACAGCAAAGGAACAAAGTGCTTAAAATGACCTGACTACCCTGCTGTCCTTAGAATAAGTGGTGAAAGGAAAATTGATGCTGAACTGAGTGGTAATGGACACAGATCTGTGGAACAAGCAGAGTGGAGCAACTCATGGTATCATGGCAATTATCAAGCTAGAGGGATGTAATGGTTTTAGGGCCTTATCTCCAGTATTAGGGAGCTTTTGTGTTTCTGCATGCCGAGACATTTAAGACGATTTACAATGAAACATCTTGAACGGTCGTTTTTATTCTGACATCAGCCTCTCGTAGTGCATAAAGGACTGTAAAGACACCTTTGAATCCTGTGGGGCACATCTAGACTTGCATGCACACAATGCTGACTTTAATTCCATCAAGCAGATTTGAGGTGATGCAAGACCTTTTTTGTCCAGGATCAGTGTATCACCTTAGAAACCCTACCAAGGATCCACACAGCAATACGGCCAGGAAGAGTGAAGCTCTTACAGATAGACCCATGATGTAATGAAGGGTTTCTATTGGGGGAGACTATTGGTTAGGGCATAGAGCTTGGAATCATGAGGTTCTGTGTTCGAGCCCCACTCCCACAGACTGCCAGTCTGGGTCTCTGAGCAAGACCCTTCACCCCACACCGCCCAACGATGGCAGCCAACTGCTTCCAAAGGGGATAGGTTAAATGCAGAGGTAAATTTCACCAATGTGAGATCAATAAAGATCAATAAAGATCAATAATTTGAATACATCATATCTGGTGTAGCCAAATACCTTAGTTTAGTGTACATGAGAGGTCTGAATTTACCAACTTATTCTTTGAAAATATGAGTTCATTTTCCCTCAAACGTCAGCGCAAATGATTTAATCTGCTTCTATTAGAAAGAAAAGTGGTACAAACAAATTTAACCTAAAACTTTCCTGTTAAAATTGTCCTATTTTTATTTTTCATTTTTATTTTTTGTGACTGTCCTGGCTAGCTCTAACTAAATCATTTCGGCTTCAGGTGTACTTATTTACACTAAGGGTCTAATGTAGCTGCTGAGTAAATTAAACTATTATAAACTGTTTCCATTTAAAATCAGGTGACTGCTATTCAAAATCCAAGCTGTTAAGGAAAAATCCTAGTTTTTCACTCAGTGAGAACTTTCTATTCTATGTTACAGAAACATAACAGTAAATTCTGCGCAGACTATAACACGGTGTGTTAAAAATAACACATGGTCTAAAGATGAAATCTAAAGATGCAATCTTGTTCCTTCAGAGTTCGCTCTGAACTTCTGAACAGCTGCAATTATTAGGTTTTAGCGTTACAAAGACTTTTATTCAGCTCTAGGAAACACTACATTCGTGTTAATGAAATACATCTACAGCAGTGACGCCGCAGCTTAACGAATATTCACCGCTGACAGATAATCAGGACACAGATTATTAAATTAGGGTGTCCTCAGATGGCATTCTCAGTCTGCCACTTTCCCTGCCTGCTCCACTCCGGTCATCCACTCCTGCCCACTCTGCGGCTCCTTCCCTCCCCCAGCCTCCTTGTGTGCCTGCAGATGATGCATGAAATCATCCAGGATCTGCTGGGCCAGCATGGAGTTCACATCCTCTGCATCCTGCTCAAAGAGCAGCAACTTTAACCCTCCTCTTCCTTCCCATCTGTCATCCGCTGGGTGGGTGTGCTGGGGGTCTGGAGTGGTCTCAGTGTGGGCTGTGCCCCTTAGTAACTGCTGATGGGTTTGTGGGTAAACAGGCTGCGGTCTAGCAGGGTAACTAGGAGCTGTGGATTTATAGGAAGCAGCTCCAATGTCAGCCGAAGAGAACGATGGGCTGTGAGTGGACCCATGCTGGCCTGAAAGACTGCCCTCATTTTTTGCTGGTGTAAAAGCTTGTTTAATGGGCATGAAGGCCGTGACCCTCTGCGGACCTGCCTCTGACTCGCTCAGCCAGCCCTGGGCTGCTCCCTCCGCTTTAGGACTGCAAGACTGGCCTGCTGTCAGCTGGGATTGGTTGCTTGGGAAAGAGGTTGACAGAAACTTTGGTATGGCTTCAGCAGAACCAAAGTACTTCTCCAGGAGTTCCTTTACCAATAGTGGTACCTGCAAGGCAGAAACCAAACATGGGTTAACTCTCTGGTTAAGGATTTATTTTTTTATATCTTGTATTTACATTAAAACCCAAATATACTGTGTTTTTCTTTGTGCTCTGTGACATTTACTAAGTAAAACTCTATCCTAATCTATTGAATTTAGCAGATTAGTGAAGATTTGCATCGATAAGTGACATTTGACTTTAACAAAGACAGTCTGTTTCCTCATGCTGTGCTGATGAATAATATATTCAGTTAGAGTATTCCTTTACATTGAAATG